CAAATAGTTGTATCTTGGTCCTATCCTAACAAACCATACATCAATGGAAAGCTTATTTATTCAGCTTTCAGATGATGTATAAATCTAAATTTCGAAAAATTGACCCTTATGACTGGTTTTGTGGTCCAGGGTCACAAATGTCATATGCAGCACAAACTAGTGTCCAAGAAAAAGTTTAGAAAAGATATTAATCTTAAGGTAGGTAGGTCTGACATTGGCACAATCACTTTCCAGTGTCATCAGGCCTAAGACTAAAGTTACACACTCGAACCGTAAGCCTTACACCAAAACCACCATTTATTTTTTTTGCCCGTGGCGACAATTTTGGCTGTCTGATGTTCATGGCAGCTGCCAAGCAGGTCTAGTTTTTTGGAAAGCCTCTTATAGGTCTTTTCCATTACTGCCAAATATAAACAGTATCTGTTTTAATATGGCTTCTAATTATTAAGTATCAATTCCCCCTCTCGCGTCGCGAGCGCACGGGGTACGGATGAATGCCGCGCGCTCATCCGCTTTGATTCGTTCGTCGGGAGAGCGTGCCAGCTGACACGGTGCCCAGTCTGCGGCTTAATGCACAAGTTTTTAATAATGTGTGGGACTACACGAGTCTCCGCGGCTCATTGATATTCACGTGCCTAATGTCTTGTCAAAACTGCGAGGCGAGGGAGACGGCAAGAGAAGCGAGCACTTGAAATTTCTGAGGTAGGTTTCTTTCCTTTTTAGTCGACGCCAGCACAGGGTTCTTAAACGTAATTCATCCCCTTTTTTTCCGAGAAGGACTAATGGAAGAGGGAGAGGGTTGAAGCTTCTCCGCGCTTATCTCTGTCTGACAGTCGCGTTCAGGGGTTGGCGAGGGCTGGTGTTAGCGCGCTATGCTGTGCGGTACGGTGCAGGCGAGCAGGCCCGGGGACAGGGATCAAAGGGAGGCTCGGGTGAGCGCCGTTTTTCTCTCTGATCCCTCCGGTGGCGAGACCCAACCCCGGTCGTGCGCTGCCTTACGCACTCATCCATCAGTCCGTCCGTGAGGAAAGCCTCATTCCACAGCACAACCACACTCCCACCGCTCACGTTTGCGCACACGCAACGACCACTTTTCCTTCCTGCTGTAGTGATATAGTTATGATTTAATCACATTAAAATTATCTCTGCAACTGCTGGTAATACCACGCAGGATTCCATGGACAAGTATTGTGAAGTATCATAATCCTTTACTGTACCATAGTATCTCCAATCCTCATTGTACCGTAATGGTCATTGTTAAGGGTCCCTCTTATCTTAGTCCAACAATTAATCAGTGTTATTATAGTTAAATCATTACATTGAAATTAAATTAACAGACTAATTAAAAGAAAAAAAAAATAAGGAAAGCTGTCAGTGGTTCTGCAGAGGCATGTTGTTTTCCTCGCTCTCCCAGCAGGTGTCCCTGTCAGGCAGAGCAGTGGAATCCACCTCAAACGCTTCTGCCAAGGAACACATTTCCCAGGACCACTCATAAAAACCCATTTCGAAAGGCATAATAGCCAGCACGAGCACCTGACATCTCGTTCATTGTGGTTGAGCAGCTCTAGCTCCATCTCTGGCTCTGATATTCTCTGTTTATTCCCATCTGCAGAGAAACAGGAAACTTCTGCCTTATTTTCTCTTGATAACATCATTTAGAGATTTTCTGCTTGGTTATGGGACATTGAGGGATATTAGCTATCTCAGTATGGATATTTGAAGGGTCATCAGGACAAAATATATAATTATGTAACTTGTTTGTAAAACAAACACAGCTGGAGATTTTTTCTCTACTGGAAAGTTGTTTTCCAGCAACAAAAATGTCTTCTATTCTAAGGAAGGAAAGGAAAAAGAGTGACATTTCCCTGACATCTTCCAGAGTACGCGTCCTTATCCATCATCTGCTGTGCGACAAAATGAAATGGGGCGATAGGCTCACCTCAACCCAAAAACATATCTGCAGACCAGCCAAGCAATGCCTAATAGACCCCATCTGACACTGCATCACTCCCAGACCAGCCTAAACTTATAATCAAGGACTATGACAACAACAACCGCTGGTGGATGGCTTTTCTACTGGCCTGTAATGGGAAAATGCGCTCTGTCTGGATGGGTTACACCAACACCTGTGCTGAGATCAGCAGGGGTCCATTACCGCCCACAACTCGGCCACCACAACCCATTTACAGCCGCATTTTGGTCAATCTTTACCAGCAACCAGTAGCCCATCAAAAGCAGACGTTTGGAGAAATAGGTCTTTCGTCCGAACACATGCATTTATCTCCTCCAGACAGGTGT